GAATTGCGGACGGATTAACTGGCTTGGGCCCCGCCAGCTGGAACAACTCGCGTGGTTGTTCCGATGACCGGACCACCTGCGTCGTGATTGCAAGCGGCGTGAGTAAAGTTTTTACAACCAATAAGTTGTGTCTGCCTCTCCATTCACCAGCCCGCTCTAACGTACGACCAATTTCTAACGTAACTCGAGTCGGCTGTGGCCGTCCGAGACATCTGTAACTATAGAAACTATGCAATATGATTAAAAGGCAAGAGTTAATTTAAAAGAAAACTAAAATTGTGGGATTTAATTTTTTTGTCCCTGGAGGCAAGAGATCTATGTATCAGGCGCTTATAGTACAACAATCATCATTTCATCAAGATCAGATAACGGCAGACCCAAAACCATTTGAGTAGCTCTCCAAAGAATCCACACCTAAAATGTAGTATCAGCAAAATGACAGAATGGTTTAAGCAAGTTATTTAATAAGTGAATAAAATAAGATTCGATGTTCCATTCCTGTATTGCTATAGAGTTGAACAGAATATTGAGGCAGAAGTTCTTGGGTAAAAGGTAGAGTAAACTGAATGGCAAGAAGCAAACAAAGTGTGGGCCAAACATCAGACAGACACCACAAAATTTATGCTCATTTTGTATGGATCTGTATGAGACTTAATGACTTAACTCACCATCTTCTCAGGGCTCAGTCCTGTCTGGATCTGAAAATATAGAAGTTAGGAACTAAATAGTCGATTCCTGTTGAAAAATAACTTTCTACTTGTCAAATAAATTACATGCACTCACAAGCTTACTTGGAACCAATACAGTACAGTTCTGGAAAAATTCTGTATTTATCAAATTCCAGTTAAGAATGCAATTAAAGAATAAAGTATGATCAGTGGAATTTTATTTTTATTATGTAACATGCATTAACAACCAGACACATTTCAGTTATTAAAACAATAGATAGTGATGAAGAATTTGGTGCACAGTACTGTTTTGTAAACATAAACATTTTCTATTTTACAAAATATGAATTAGTAATTTTCCTTAAAATCTTCAAACTCCAAAATTTCAGTTTAAATTAACAAATAACTGAAATACATCAATTCCTGATTAAGTAGTGTGTGTGACCGCATAATTATTTGACACTAAGAGGCAGATTTTGTGAACCTGCTCAGATTGATATGTAAACATTTATATGGCATTGTGTTCTTTAAAGCTCTGATTATCCAACATATTTTCAAAAGTGCCTTATTTTTGGATGCCTAGCATGTAACACCTGGGACAGCCAACATTTTTTCCTCCTAACATGCCCAGTAATACAGTTACTATTGGCTTTACTGAGACTGAAGGTATTTTACATTTCTGAAAGACAATCAGTAATCAAGTTGAGCACCTAAAATATATACATACACCCAAAATCAGAGGCTACTTTTGAGAAAGTATAGCTCTCAAACCATGGAGAAAAATGGTTGGAAAATAAGCAGAAAAAGTAAGAGGTCTCTATACATAATGGCACAGTGGGACCCAGTAGCATAAATAAGTGGGGGTGACAAGGTCAGCAACCCTGGGTGCCCACTTAGAAGGGAGAAAGGGTGTCCAAACAGCAACTGCTGTAGCTACCTACAGCCCTATAGCCAACACTGCCTTGCATGCAGAGCTGCCCTGTTACATGTCTGGTAGAACAAGTTCTTAAGTTCTTTCACAAGAGCTCCCGCTGTTTCCAAAATCATTGTGTAAACTTTTTGTATATTTGTACAAAAACTGTTACTATTTGTTTTATTTTCTCTAAACTAACAGCTAGACACTAGACAGTTTGCTTCATTTTCTTTATAAATTGCATTTTCCAAATGACTGCAGTTACGTTTCATGTTTCACATGTTGTCTATACAATATTGTATTATAATACATTTATCTAAGCCTTTCCACTACTTTCTATTAGACAGAGTATCTGTTCATGAGGATATGAAAATATCATCCTTTTGTTGTCTACAGCTTGTATGTTTAATTACTACACACCTGTAACATCTTACAGATAAGTGCATAATAACATTACGCCTCCACCTATGTTTTATGATCTCCTGCTTTGTGGCACTTCTGAAAATAGGAAAGCACTCAGCTTGAAAGGAGAACAGAGCTGTAACACAAGCTATTGTGAAAGGCAATGGATAGCTTATAAAGGAGTTTATATTTGTTAGATACAGTTTGGTACTCATACAATCTATTTTCCTTTTAATGAAGGCATTGGAGATGGAGGAAATGAACTGGGAATGGGGAAAGTAAAAGAAGCCGTAAAAAAGCACATAAAAAATGGAGACGTTATAGCTTGTGATGTTGAAGCTGATTTCACTATTGTAGCTGGTAAGTAAAAAGAAAAATGTTTAATGAAAAAGAAGTGAAAATAAAGCAAGTATGTTGCAGTTAATTCTTAACTGGCTTTTTCTAAGTGACAAAAACCCACTTTGTTTCTGATTTTTGTATCAAAATCTGGTCATGTAGCCTAAGTTTGCTAAAAATATGGCAAAACTGGGTTGAGTGAAAGCTACAGAGGATTCATGTCTCAAAAAAAAGTGGAATTCTTTTTTAACTATTTGCCTTTTGAGTGTTTGCCCTTGTTCCAAACCCCAATGCAAAACTAAAGTAGGGGTTATATAAACCTGTATCAATTTAATCTGAAATAAAAGTTTAAACCATCAGTTAATATTTGTGTTCACCTTTAAAATAGATACATAAATGTAGCGTACAACACATACCAATACAAAAGGAATCCTAAAGAATAAATGTGAATTTGAGTGGCAAAATTATTGTATCAGCCAAATGAGAGAAAATATGTTGCTCAAGATTCTCAAGCTCTATTCTTGACTCAGTCCCAGAGTATTAAAATGACCCCTGTTACCCCCAGTACTCTTTTTATGTACACTAAAGAACTGATGTTACAGGACTGTCAAGAAGTGTATGCTATAAATGGTGCAATGTAAGTAATCTAAATTTAATTTGGAGAATTTTGTTGGGGCTTTAGAATTCCATGTGAAATGTTTTTCCTTAGACTGTTCCTGTAAGAATAAAAATAAACTGATGTACTATATTTTAAAAATAGAAAATCTCTGTGGTATATTTAATCATACAATACACAGCTATTCTTATAGTCTATTTCAGTTCAAAGCAGGCATCAGGGAAAACTATGCCAATAAAACGCATCAAACCGTGTGTTCTACTATTGGTTCATAATTTATTTTTTGTGTTTCACTCTACATCACTAGTAATCATAAAGGCTAGACTTTACTCATCTGTAGAACTTGCAGCTGAGTTTTTCAACATAGTACATTTCAAAGCATAAAACTATGTCATGTAACAGATAACTTCTCAGAGGGTGCATCTACGCAAGACACTTAACATTGCATTAGTATAGTTTACTGCAAAGTACTCATGTGTGTAAGCACATGCACATGCTTACTTCTCATCCAACTTCCCTAATACTGAGTAAATTTGCTACCTGCAAATGCAAGTAGCAAATTTACTTGGCATTAGTAATGGCACCATAATGCTCGTGTAGATGCCTGACCAGGAGCAAAATCTGCTCTCAGTCAGCCGTTCACTAGGGGGCAGGAGATAGCTGCCAGGGCAGGCACTGCCAAAGGAGCCCAGGTGGGGATTATGTCCCTCTGCCTCAGCAGCAGGGAGCTCCAAGCCTCCTGCTCCAAGATTGCAATTGGGAAGTGGGGTCTGGGAGATCCTTATCTTCTAGCCCCTGCTTTGCCACCATGACTGGGGAGTGGGGTGCTGGGAGACGCTTATCTCCCAGCAGTGGCCCCATGATCGCAGAGCCGACACTGGGAGCTCCCTGCTGGCAGGGGCTGGGGAGCTTGTTTCCCCCCCAGCTCCATGCTCACAGAGCTGGGCAGGGAACACACTTCCCAGGCCCCACCCTGTGTGCCTGGGTGGAGACAATGTCCCCCTGCCCCAGCAGCAGGGAACTTCCAGCCCCCACTCCCTGATTGCAATCACAGGGTGGGGACTGAAAGCTTGTTCCTGGCCCCTGTTCCACGATCGCAGAGCTGGGGCTGGGAACAAGCTCCCTAGCCCCCACACCATAGTTGCAATTGTAATCATGGAGCAGGGGCTGGGAGTTTCCTGCATGGGGACAGTTCCCTGCCCAGCCTGGAGCTGGCTGGGACCTGCCCCGGACCAGGACAGGTCCCAGCCAGACCCAGGCTTCACAGGGAAGCAGTGCAGCCTGTTTTGGGAAGTTCCCAGTCTTGTTGGGCAGCACAGCCTGTTCTGTTTTGGGCAATCCCCAGCCAGCTCCAGGCTGCACATGCAGACTTTCCCATGCAGATGGGGGTTGGCCAGGAACTGTTTTGGTCAGGGGTAGGTCCCAGCCCCGTGCTCCAATCAGGTGACTGAGGCATGGGACTTGGAAAGAGCTGCAAGGGTGGAGCAGGTCCCAGCCCCCTGCCCCAATCCACCGGTGGGGCAGCTAGCAGTGAGCTAGCTGCTAGCTGCCCCACTGGTGGAACAGGCCAGGGGGTCAGGGAACTGCCCCTCACCTGCAGCTCTTTCTAAGCCCCGTGCCTCTGATTGGGAAGCCAGGGCCGGGAGCTCCCTGCTGCCAGAGTAGTGGGACATTGTCCCCACCCCAGCAGCAGGCAACTCTCTGGGGCCAGGAGACAGCTGTCTCCTGGCCCAGTACTCCCTGTCAGCCCCTGGGCTAGCACCCAGAGCAGGGGCAGGCAATTATTTTGGGTGGAGGTCTGCTTACTGAGTTTTGGCAAGCCATTGAGGGCCACATGACAGATAGCTACAGGCAGATAAATATTAATTTTCTAAATTTTTGAGTGGCCCTGCAGGCCAGATAGAATGGCTTTGTGAGCTGCATCTGGCCCGCGGGCCGCATTTTGCCCACCCCTGACCCAGAGGGAGCCTGCAGTTCCCCCTGGTGATGGCAGGGGTATATTGCATGGCTGCAGGGAACTGGGACCAAATCTATTCCCTAATCGCTGCATGTGTAGACACCTACCCAAAAACCCTTACTGGGCGCGTCTACACATGATGCTATAGTGACAGCGTTGGCAGGCATAATTTAGCTGTTGTCACCATAGCAATGTGCTCCCTCATTATAGCACACTGCCACGGCCACATAGCAGCTAAAAATATCTGTGTGCAGCTGGCACAGTGCAGTAACAATGGCACTGTAGGGCCACATATAGATGTACCCACTGTGCAGTAGCATAAATCTAGGCTGAAGTAAATGCATGTGTAGGCACACCCAGGATGTAGCAAACGAGTGTACATAGTGTCATATGTGAGGTATTAAAAACCTCTAATAGTTCCAAAGAAATGTTTTTAGGCCTTTCCTACACCTCCCCCTACCTTTCTCACCACCATTTGGCTGTAAACATGTCACATTTATTCTGGGACAAAGTACAATCATATAGACACCCATGTCTGTTTTCCTGGGATAAATGCTAAAAACATTTCCCAGATAGTGGGTAGCAACAGTTTATCCTAAGATACTGCAATTATACTTTTGTATAGTTATCTGTGATTGCATTCTTGAAGCAAAGGCAGAAAAGCACTCACTAATCCTGATTAGAAGGATGATGTGCAGGCAAGATATTTTTGTTTGAGGACAAACACAGGCACAATTTATCCAGGGACAAGTGTAGTCTCTGTTCCTAGCCTTTGAGACTCAACTGATATTGCTTTGGGACTTGCAGATTATGTTCATTCGCTTTTTTTTCTTTAAGATTTTACATTTAATTTTTATGGTTTAATTTCATAACAACTTTCTCTTGCAGGGGTCTCTAACTGGGGAGGTTATGCTGTTGCTTGCTCTCTCTATATCCTCAACACCTGTGAGATACATGATCGCTATCTGAGGAAAGCTATTGGATTCCCCAGATTGTCCAAAAAGGTGGTTTGGGCATCAGCTCTTCCATCTGTTACTAAGGTATTTTGGTAGATTAACAACATCAGCAAATTGCTATAGTAAAGTGAACCAATCAGCTGTTGATCACTGGTTCTAATCCAGCCCAGACCAGTGGGTCAAAAACCATTGGTATCATCCTTGAACTTTTAGATACAATCCTGGTGGATAAGTGTCACACTACAGCTGGCATATTCTACAAAAAAGTCTAAGGATTAGGTGAGCATAGAAAATTGTTAATTTCTTAAAGATAGATGTGCCTTCCAGAATGCGGCAGTGTAAGAATTTTTATATGTTGCAGATGTCTGTCTTTATATAAACAAGATTTCAGTCTGAGTGGTTGCTAATTAGACTTCTTTTACTAAACTACAATAATTTAAAAACATGTAGACTTGATCTCTATGACACACCAGCTGTTGGGCTGCTCTGAGCATTTGGATTAAATTAGTATAAACAATTTGAAGGGTGCATATAAACAACTGTAGGGTTTTGCTGTTTTTTCAACTTGCACTATCAGTACCTTCCATCTTCAGATGTAATCTAACTTCCCTCTTGAATATGTTTATGTTGCTAGAAACCAAGATTATTACACTGGTGCCTGGTAGTGTAATTTTAATTAGAAATCTGCAATATTTTCCATTTAAAGAAGCCAGCCATAAAACATGCTGTTGAATGAAATTTAGCACATGGAATTCAAGATCATACAAGATGTAATACCTGCTCTTTTAGATTATTCAAAATTAAAGGACGGAAAGAGTATTAAAGTTCATTAGTTTTACCAATATAGTTCAGAACTAGGTATTATTCTGTAATTATGGATATTTGCAAAATGAGAAAAATATAAAATGGTAGAGAAGGATCTGAACTCATTGCGGCATGTGACAAATTATAGTTTTAATTTTTTCTTTGACATAAAAGGTGAATTTAGCAAGGAAGCAGGATCTTCCCTGGTGTGCTAGCACAATGGTTTGGAGCACTTAAATGTTCAGGAGAAGAATGGCCACAGTTGTGGCTTGGAAAAAGTCAATACAATTTGCATGATCTGCAAGTACATCCATTTATTTATCTGCCTGTCATATATATCAAGCTTATCACTGTAGTACTTCTATGGAGATCATAATAGGTTTTACTCAACATTCCTCAAAAATAACATAGGGTGATGACAATCATGGCTTTATTAGCAAACACACACACACACACACACAAATATTCTGTTCCACACCAAAGAAACACAACAAAGCCCAGATACTCAGAGTTTATTTCTTTATGTCATGAATTTGAATCACTGACTATTGCAAGAGTTTCTCAGCCCAGAACATGCACTTTTTGCTTCTTGTTGTTACAAGTCATGAGGAGATTAGGAGGAGACTATTGAAACTGCCCCCTTAGTTGTTTATTCGTATGTAGTGGTCTTAGGACTTGACACAACTTGCGGTATCTATCATCTCCACATTGAAAGAGACGTGTTGTTTTTCATTTTTCACTGATTTTTTTCAGATACAGTAACTTTTCATTTTCCTTTAATGCTATATGACTTAAAACCTAGTTTAATTTAATCAGAATCCCTGGTAATGAAATATTGTAATTAAACTCAGTCTCTCATGCAAAATTCTGTCTTGCATTTATATTACCAAGTTCTACAGCTAATGGTCTGATAATGGGAAGTACCCTTGAAACTTCAATAATAAAATCTATTCAGATAAAATTCATGGAAAGAGCAAGGTAGGTACAGATAAAAGCAAATTACAAATTATGACAAGGGGCTATGGTGGCTTCAACTGTAAGCCATGAAACGGTAAACACTGCAGCAAATTTCCTGAAGTTCAACACATTTTTCCATTAGTGTAAAATAAAAAATAGAATTGAGTAAGAAATTCCAGATAAGTTATGCTTTCAATGGACAGTTTCTGTGCAACTGTAGCAGATTCTTATACTCTGGCCAGTTGCCCAGAAAAGATAAAAAAGCACCGTTCTAACTCCCTTCCCCCCAGCCAACACTGTTGATGCTGTTCTGTGCTTAGAAGATCTGAACAGCAAACCTAAATGCAAATAAGATATTTGAATGAGCCTCTGTATACCAAATAGCTTCCTTTGTCTGCATTCAAAACTCGCCCCAATATGACACTTCTTCTATGAAATCAATGAATAATAATCCACTACAGTGAAAGAGACTGCCATGGAAACATGGATGTCATTTCCCACTGAAAATGCTGCAACCTCATTCTGCCTGCACTGCAAAGCAGACCAAAGGTGTGGATGTCCTTCTGTTTTTACAATGGAAGAAAGAACAGATTCTGAGTCAATCAATTTCCTCCAACAAGAAGCATTGGGAAGCTTTTATCCCATGTTGTATTCTTAATTAGAAAGAAATAATACACTATAAGTGACTGAAGTACTGTGATGGATGGGATATACTGTTCAAGAAGAACAGGCAGGGGAGAAGAGGAGAAGGAGTTTCACTTTATGATTGTATGATTGTTCAGAGGGACAATATGAAGCTGGAAACAGGCCTGTTGAAAGTCCCTGGGTTAGGGTCAGAGGGGAGGGCAACAAGGGTAAAGTTGTGGTGAGTGCCAGCTATAGACCACCAGACCAGGAGGATGAGGCTTTCTTCAGACAGATAGCAGAAGTTTCCAGGCTCTGGTTCTCATGGGGGACATCAGAGCCATAGCCACTGCCCTTCTCCCAACTGCCTCTGGCCCTGCCACCTGCTTCCCACCAGCTCCTTGCCCCCTTCCCCCGCCGCCAAGCTTTGTCCCCCCACCACCTCTGCTCCCTGCCAGCCCGACACCTCCCCACCTCTACCCTGCAAAGCCCTGCCCCTCACACCTGCCCCTGCTGTCTACCCCTCCCTCCCACCTTCCCCCCCAACACCTCTGACCGGGAACATGGAGCAACATGCTGGTTCTGGCTCCTGCTCAGCCTGGTAACTGTGGTTGCAGTGATGGCAGCTCGGGCCCCAACTCCAGGCCTGGAGCTGGAGCTGCCATCATCCCAGCTGCTGCTGCGTAGCCAGGGTAGAGCCAGCAGGTGCTTTGTGCCCTGGGCTGGAGTGAGGCTGGAGCTGAGACTCAGGGTAAGTAGTGTTAGGGAAGCAAGTGGCAAGGGGGAGCAGGCCCTGCCAGGAAAGGGGAAGGCACAGAGGGGGCAGGTGGCAGTGGGGGGCAGACACCAGGGGACACAGGCCCAGGGGAGAGGAGTGGGTGCCAAGAGATTCAGGCAGGCATGGCACCCCCATGGCAGGTGGGGAGGGGGGTCAGGCTGCTTGACGACTCTGCTGCTTGCCACCCCTCTACCTGCTCCCACCACTGCTTTCTATCACAGCAGTGGGGGGAGGGCAAATGTAAAACAACCCTCCAATAATTAGATTTTATCCAGGGCATTTTTTATTAATTTACAAACTGTCCATGTGTAGAATCTAATTACTGTGGGGGGGGGAGAGGGGTGTCTTAAATTCAAAGGCATCTTGGACTCAGGTAACTATGGTATGTACTAGTTTGATTGTTCAGTTTGACACAACATACCTTTGCATTTACTAGTTCTTTAACATAAAAGCAGCTGCTTATTTAAGGCTGCTTTTGCTATGAACTATATCAAATGACTAGGAAAAGTAAGAAAGGCAACTAATTGGCTTGTGGGGGGTGTATTTCAGTGCTTCCAGAAATATTGCTATTTTAAACATTCATACAAAATTACGCTAAACATAAATATAATACTACAGTATACTACCTTAATCGCACTGTGTGTTGTAGTAAAATTACTGTTAGAGGTAGGATTTTGAAATATTCCTGCACAAATACTGTAACATTTGATAAAACAGATGATTGACAGTTTAGCTTTGTAAAGAATTGTATAAGACTTTTGGGTAAAGACTATAACGGAATTTGCTATGTATAATTTTACATGAAGTGCAAACATAGGGCTATTTCACATATGAAAGCAAAGTGTAGTCCTATCTGTCAAGGTTAGGAAGTTTCTTTAGTAATTTCTACCCAAGCACAAGATCTCACACAAATGGAAAGAAAAATATTAGGATAATAACAGAAAAACTTTCCTAGCAAGAGAGATTGATTGTGTGACATTACTTAAAAGGCCAGTGAACTGCATAAAGGGGAAGAAAATAGAGAGTGCCTAGGGTTTTCCTACTCTACTTTTTTTTTATTAACATGGGTATTGAAATGAGGTCTTTGTCTACAGTCAGTGCTAATACAAGAAGGTTCTAACACCTAAATTTAAATGTCAAAAGACAGAGCAGCTGAAACGACATTTTACTGTATTTGCAAAATTCTCATACACTTGGTAAAGGAATAGATCATTTTCCTTTGAAAAGAAAAATAGAAAAGGCTGTTGCCTGTGGAGTTATTTATGAAGTGTGATCCATAGAAGATAATGCTTCACTGCTCTTTATGTAGTGTCTATATGGCCCCCCCCTCCCCTACACACACTTTTAAAATATGACTGTAGGCATTTTAATTTTGCAGGTTGAGTTAGGGTTCTTGAGAACCTATTCTTCCCCTGCTTCCTCACATCATATTCCAACTAGCCTGCACCCCACAGAGACAAGAGGTTTTTTTCCTTGTGTATACTCTAACAGCACAACTTGGAATGTATTTTCTCATATATTTACATAACTGCTGGCCAAGACAGTACAACAAATAAACTTTGATTTGGGATCCAATTCCAAACAAAGAGAATTATGCTACAGCAATTTAAAATGTGCTATCATGGAGAACTACAAAGAGTAGGGATTTTCTTTTTCTTTTCTGCTTGTCCTTCTCTCATTTTATTGCAGTCTACAACATGTGGTGGTAAACTTCCATAGGTCTCTAAGAAATTAATAGACCCTGCAGGCAAGATAGGAATCCCTGAGAGAAACTGAGGAAAAATGATGGGTAGGGTACCGTGTTGTCCCAGTATTTTTCTATCCCTCTTTCTCTTCATTTATTCTTTTTTCTTATGTTCCTTCTTTTACTAATGTATCTATTTCTGGCTGCTCTCTATATTAAGAAATACATTTATTTATTGAGGAATGAGAAATGAATTTATGCCAACTAAAGCGGAACCACAAACATGCATACACAGGCATGCATGCACATAGAGACATGCAGTCATGCACGAGTACACCAGCTCTGGCCATTAACTACAGTCAGATCCAGGCTGCTTTAAACCATTACTTTTGGGGGGGATCCAGATGGTGTTTAAGACACTTTGCATGAATATGTGTCACTAAAGAGAATTCAGATTTCTGAATGAACACAAATAGATTTTTTTGTTTAGGATCATTAACAGTGCTCAGTAAAGGGTATCCATGAAAATAGTCTTTTCTCAGTCCCTCAGCGCTGAGATTTCCAGCTAACTATACTCTTTGGTCACTGTGAAATGGTGATGTTTTCAATACTGTTAGCTAAAATAAATGCTGAAGAGGATGTGGTCACAGTTTCCCCAAGGTTTAACTGAAAGAGCGTGATACCATTTGCTTGATTAGGGTACTCATTGTATTTTATTTTTCTTTTTAAGGAAGAAAATTTGCTGCAAATACTTAGACATCATGGAGTTCGCAGTGGAATAACTGCCAGTCTTGAAATGGAAGTGGATGGTTTGTCCTTCTATAGCACACACTCAGATATGATTGAAAAGCTTCTGGGAGTACTACATTGACTTTCCTTTACAGACTTCCAGAGTTACTATTAGATTATCACCCCCCCTCCACACACACACACACACACACCTACTAATAAGGTACCGCTAAAGTTGGGAACATGCAAAATAGATGGTCCTAGAAACCCTTCACTAGTACCTGAGCACCTCTTACTCTTTAATTATTAGCCATACAGCGTGACTGTGAAATGTGAAACTGCATCTCCATCTGGAAAATGAAGAATAGAAACAAAGAGCAACTAAAATGATTTGACCAAGCTCACACAGGAAGTTTGTGGCAAAGATGAGAATTAAATAAAAATCTTCTAAGATCTTAATTGTGAATCCAGTACAGTGCCTTCATCACAAAACTTTCTTGTCATGGTGTCAATTTTATACTACTATTTGAATTATAATGAAACACAAGTACACACTGTGGTATTATATAACATAATGGGTGATCCATTTTTTATGTACAAATTGAAAGTCCCCTTGCATTAAAAATAGAAGTGTTATCATGATTGCTGTTCCTGTTTTACTAAACCTCACAACTGCAGCAGGAAGTAACACTTGTAGCAAATTGGATTTAAAATACCATGGTGGTGGAGAAAGCAACTGCAGTGACAGGATGGGTGTAAAACAGAAAAAAGGGTAGTCTATAGCAGTGAAAGCCCAAAGTATAACTCACCTACACATTTCCTGCAGCCCCTCTAACGGTGTGCTGCTTTGGTTGTAGCTAGTTAATGGGGAGGAGGAGAAAGCTTAACTAGAGCTAGTGTAATAAGTATAGCATTGCATGACTTCCAGGAAAGGCTAGGACATAAATGTAAAGCACTTATTGTGAAGAAAACAAATATATAATGCTATTTCCTCTTAGGTGCTCTTCAGGCCTAGGTGAAAACCAGTGATGGAAAGGTAACTTAAATATCAAGAAAGCTCATTTTTCACTGAGGTCTATTAGATTATGGAACAGTCAGCCAAGAACAGAGGAGGAAGTCCAATGACTTGGGTCTCTTACAGCCGTTCATTTTATCCTGGGAGAGTTGCTGCTCTCCCAGGGAAACCATGAGTATACAGAAGTTCAGGCTTTTTATCTCAGAGTAAAAAAGCCACTTCAGAAGAAATATAACCTGGGTACAACCAGGGTTAAAGCACTTCCAGGAGAGATTAAGGGAGCCTGCAGAGCATACTGAGATGTGTGCACAGCCCCCCAGCCCTTACACACCTCACTGCACAGTGTCATTACTGCAAGCTGTCCACTCTTCAGGGACTCACCATTTGAATGTCTGTACACATGGTTCTGGGTAAGTTTTCTACCATGAGAAGAAACCTGAGAGAATTCTCCAAGATTATTTGCATGTCTGTACACAGCTTTGGCCATTTAAATTTTGCTGGCTTTATAACCCCAGAAGATATGTCAGGTCTGAGCTTCTGTTAGACACCAGGCCCAGTGATTGAATTAAAATAATAGTCTATACAGTACCTTGCATACACTAAAAGCTGTTGCCAGCATAGCATTAATATTAAAATGCCTCAAAGATAGCATCAGCTAATTCCCCCAAAATGGCATAAGACTAATAATTCTGATTAGCCTATTCTTGTTCCAGCAGGCTGGGCAGCAGCACTGTGAAGTTTCTGCAGTGAAAGACATCTTGCATTCACTTCCCCTTTGAGCAGGCAGCTTTTGTTACCATTGTTAAAAGGATCATATGACTTTTGGTAACTGAGGAAAATCAGCTGTACTTCAAACATTAATTTCCTGAGCTGAGCGAAATACATTGCTATTAAAGGCAGAGTGTAAAATATGCTCTAGGTTGGAATCTTTGAAGTCTAAAAAAAAAGTGCTCACTGACAACCACCACAGAGCTTTCAAGGCTCTTTGTATTTATTGCAAGGCTCGATTCTATGATTTGGGATTAAGTTTATGTTATTTAAAATGTTAAACATCCTTGTGATGAAGAATTTTGGAACAAAACCATCTTTACAGTTTAATGATTAGAAAGCGCTTTTTATTATTTAATAAAAAAGGACAATGTCAATTTACTTTTGGACCACAGCATAAAGAGTAAGAAAATGATTTCACGTGAATGACTGTAGTCTTGCGTTGTGCGCTATTTGCATGTGTGGCATGTTAAAGCTGAGCAGCACAGCCCTGTGGCAGGTTGCAGTGCTCTGCTTCACAGGTATGAGGAATGGGTCCTCCCCACTCGCTCCAGCCTTCTCAGTTGCCGGCCCATCTGGACTTTTTCCACCCATGCTTTGGAGTCTAGGATCAAGATCCCAAGCTTCACATGTGCCAGCAAGTTGAAAGGGCACTGCAGGAAGCACAGCATCAATGACAGCTTAATATGTTCATGTGAAGCAGACAGAGAGAGGGTGCCAGCAGATGTTAAATTAATGGTGTGATTAAATCTATTCCTGACCCCCAAAATTGTGTCCTGCCCTGCATATGCGGCATAGCAAGACACCCAATTGTTAGGATCCAGGACTAGATCTCACTGTGCCATTAAATTTAACACCTACCAATGCTCTCTGTCTGTCTGTCTGTCTTGCATTGAGACAGGCTGTTGATTACCACTTACAACATGCAGTATATTTTCAAAAACTAGCTTTTGCCAAGAAAGATTGTGTTAGTAAGTCTCTGTGATTTTATTACTTCTAATTATAGGATATGACAGCCAGATTTGACTGGGAAATATCACATATCACACAATATTATTTTTCTCCAAAAATTACCCAAAAATTCCCATCTCTTCCTCACTGATGAGTCCCTGGTTTTAATCTAGTGGTGAGGGACAGCATTTCCCGGGCAGCAGTTTGTAGGTTCAGGTGACATTTAGGGTAACAGGCTGTCAGAGGGGAAAGTTGTGGTGATATAACTCCATAGCATTATGGGTGTAGTTGTACAGGCTTAAAATTTCAGCTGTCCTGCAGGGTAAATTTTATTGAAGAACAAAAGCTGAAATTGTGTTTCTAAAACCCTAACCCTTTTTCTTCTGGCAGTAGCAGCGAGCATGTAAGGTTCCAAGGATCAAATTCTGGACTCTGTTATGCAGATTATTATCTGATGCTATGCTAGGATAGCTCAGCATAATTTGGCCCCAGAAATATATCAGCTCAAATAAGCAGACAACAGTTGTATGTAATATGTCATACTGCGAATTCCTGTCTCATATTTTAAGCACCATGAATGCTTATAAGGAAGCCAAACATAAATAAAGCAACAAATGTATCTTTAGGACAAAGCATGTGTGTGACTTCACTTGTACAAAAAGCTTGAGTGGTAGAAGAAGTGCATGTGTAGGCTCTGTTTCTAACAACATACTCATTTTGCTTATTGGAATTTGAAACCAGTGGTCTTGTGACCTAGGCAGAATAGAATTGTGGAAGGATTACAATAATGTTGAAGAGCACTACAAATTAAAAGAAAAATGCATCTTTGAGGAAATCAATCCAGCCTGGTGAGAGCTTTAAGCATAAAGAAATGTTAAAGAATTAAACAAACTGAGTGTTAACCTAAGCAAATCTAATCCTCTCCTGGGAGTGGGGTATGATTCCTTTATGCAAAAGGAGGGAAGAGAACCATCTGTACTATTCCAAATGGAGTGTGTGGTCTAAAGCCAAAACATAGTTATTCCAAGTCCAAAGTGCATGAATATGAGAGGAATGTATAATAAAGACATTATTGAAAATATGTTATGTTATTGAAAGTATAATAAATAATTTATTAAACATAACCCTTAATTATTTCTACTGTTATACTTTCCAGGTGGCTTCCAGTGCAACATTCCATATATAATTTATTATGAACTGATAAAAAACATGGTTCTGTACAAGTCACAGTGCGTGACATTATAAGAAGCATACATTTGGCAAAGGCAGACAACATTCACCAGACAGAAGATGCAAAAGGTCTCTGAGAGTCTTTTATATAAAACAGATATTTACACTGCAGTGAGTTACTGTGAATTGCAGAAGTGTTGCTGTGTTTTATGGAAAGATCTGAAAGCAGAGAAGGTAAGTACCTGGAGCAAGAGGATACAAGAATCCAGGTTGTTGGGTTGAAAATTAAAGAAAATTTATAATGCAAAAGATGAGATGAAGTATAAGCAAGACAGGATTCATTGGTAGAGCAAAGAAGGGTAAGAAACAGAAGATATGGGGAAGGAAGAAACGTGCAGAGCATATGACTCAGTTGTTGCATTGCCAGTGGCATCAGTCCCTATTTTTTTCTGTTCCTTCTACATAAACTAGAAAATATTATACATTTCTTTCTCTACAATATATCTGGGTACTCCATTATCTGAAAAGTGGTTCCTTTTATAACAAATCATTAAACCATAAAATGAAAAAAGTCTGTAGAGTAGAGTGATGCAGCATTTAAACATATCCTGTACACCAGGCTCTCCTACATGGTATTACTTGTTAAGTTTTTTTTTGTACAAGATAAAGAAACTTGGATAAACATAACAATCCAAATCTTATGAAAGGTTAGCAGAGTTTGGATTTAAATCAGCATACCTTCAAATACCATAACCTGAGGCAGTGATATAAAATGACAACAATGAAAGTACCTCCAAGCTAGGATTCCTTTTGAAGTCCATAGGATGAATTAATTACCTACAAAGTACTGTATCCAGTTCCTCCTGAATGGGAACTCTTCCTTTGACTTCAAAGGGCACTGGACCAAGACCCAGAATTAACCTACGACATTAATTTAACTATTAGTTATCCAGAAACCCTTGCAATTCTTAGTGTACATCACATGATCTTGCTTCTTTGCTTTTTTCTGTTTGGTTGGGTCTCTGTATTCCTTGCTTACTGGCTGTTGTTACATGACTTGAGAATGAGATGACTGGGTCAGTTACAAGCATCATATAGACATGTACACACATAATTTTCCTCCTGAAAATGCTCATGAAGTCACTTAAGTTGTTCCACCTTACCCCTCAAAAAGGTGATGATAGGGTTTGACAACCTTATCCTAACATCACTACATGGACAGACATCAAGCAGTTAATGAGCATTATGGCCAATTCACACATCATTCAGACCAGTCACTGGAGCAGCAGCTTACCCAAAATGAATACTCCTGTGAGTCAGAAATACATGCATAACATTTCAACTAAACTGACCAGGTCTATATTTCCCCTGTCCCAGGTAAAGGTCCAGATTCCTCAAGGGAGCTCAGCTATAGTGCTATTCCTCAAGGGAGCTCATACTATAGTGCTGAGCTTTTAAGTCTCTGGAAAGTAAATTAGTTACAATAAATTTATAAACCAATAAATTAGTTACAATAAATTTATAAACCAAAGATTAATGCAAAGACTCATACTTGGAAACTTTATATTTGTTTCCCTTTCCTGTTCGTGCTACTGTCAGTCTGTACTGGTAATGGGAGACTCTTTCATTTTCTTAACAGCATGTACATTATTTAATAATCCTGGTTCTTGCTCAGCACGTGCCCCGCTACTTTTCCTGAAATTTTCTGGAGTACTCAGCTGGTATGATTCTTTGGTTTCAGTCCCTAAACACTTTAGGCATGCTGAACAGGAGTCTCGCATTTTGACAAAGTCTTGATGGGTGTTTTCACTGGAAAAACAGTACAGCACTGGATCAGCAATGCAGTTAAAAGTAGTCAGCAAGAGAGAAATATGGTAAATATTAAAGATCTTCTCAGCAAATGTGCAGTTGTTCTCAAATACACTGCGAACCACCAAGAGGATATGGTATGGTCCAAAGCAAGCCAAGAAAATGGCAACTGTACTTGAAACAAGCCGTTTGATTTGGATTTTTTTCTTCTTTTGAGTGCCATGGCTCTTGTGGACCACTTGTAAAATGCCACAGTAAGAAAAAACCAGAAGAAAGAAGGGGAAAAAAAACCCAGCAAAGAAGCGGTAGAAATTGAGATTATGCTCCCAGCTCTTGATGGGATAATGTTCAAAGCATACAGCATGACTTTCGGCATCCTTACTAACTTCACCATGCTTAAAGACAAACCAGCTTGTCAGAATTTCTTTGGACCAGATAACAACGCTCACTACAGCAGCAGCCTTCATTGTTCGAAACTGATGAAAACGGAAAGGGTGCACTACCGCTAGATAGCGGTCAATGGAGATGCAACAGAGGAAGCCCACGCTGATATAGATATTCTCATACAGGAGGATTCCACAGATTTTGCACAACAGTTCATTGTATGGCCAGTTGTCCTGCTGTAAAACATACTGGAGCCAAAAGGGCAAAGAAAAGATGTAGAACAGGTCTGCCACGGTCAAATTGCACAGATAGATGCCCAGTTCATTTTTAGCCTTAATCTGCAGGTACCCGTAGTATAGTGAGAGGCAGTTAGCTGGGAGACCTAGTACAAAGACAAGGATGTATATGACAGGAGATAAAGTCTGGTGTATACCATGGTTAATGGTACAGTTTATTGAATTATTCCCAGAAACGTTTTCTGTGAAATTCTCCATCTTCTAACAATGACCACAGATCACTCATGAGGATCCCAAGTGGGTAGGTGTAGATTTTAATTTCACATATAACTCATTCCTTCCACACAGCCTTCATGCTGAAGTGTCCGTTGGCCTTAGGACGCTAACAACCTGAAAGCAAAACAGATGAAAATTCTTATAAGGAATACCACTGGAAAATATGGTCTAATTTTTAGTAAGGTAGTCCCCAGATTTCTTATGTTCTTTAGTGCAAGTTAAACCTACCTGAGAAGTCTTGTGATGTGGGAATTGTAAATGTGTGAATTAATACTTTATACTTCTATAGAATTTTCTGTAAAAGGATCTCAAAGCACCTTACAAACATTAACCAATGTAACTTTTCACTCTTCTATCAGGTGAGGAAATATCACCTCCATTTAAAAAATGAGGCACAGAGACATTTATGTTGACTACTCAGGATAGTAGGATTTCTCCAGCAGAGGAACAGAGGCTTTTTAGACTTCCCTCAGGTCAGTGCAGCACATACAAAAATAGAGTACTTTAAAGAAAATACAGATTTAATTCCCTAAACTGTATATTTACATATTCCTAATACATTTATTTACATAGACATATTGGAGAATTAACATCACACACACACACAAGCTCAATAGAGGAAGCATGGAAAACATTAAATTTGCAAGCAACATCTCTTGCACAAGTACAGCTCCAAAGCTGCCTTTCTCTATTGAGACAAGGGAGGGAAAGAAGAATTCCATAAAAATCATGCATCAATTGTCTCTGCCCTGCCAGACAGTCCATTACAAATTTCCTTAACTACCAAAGGGCCTTAAAAAATGCTAGCTTACTGCACATTTCCTTTGGTGCATCTCCATTGTGCTTGATGTAACTATGGAGTAAGAAATGTTTGTATAATCTAGAAACCCAGCCAAACAAATCTTGTCTATGTTACACAATTTTACTGTGTTGGAACATGGTTGTAAAAATCAAGTGACATGACTGAAGGCAATCTCAGCTCAGCTTGGCAGTCAGGACAAGTCACATTCAGCAAATGTGCAGCTAATAACTAAATACTGGTGTATGCCAACCGCTATGTCATTGTCAATATTGTATCACCTAACATGATTATTCATAGAGACGTTAAGTCACCTTTATGCAAATGTTTACTGGTGGATGCAAATTTACCAATGCAAAGGTTAATATTTGAGATGGTCTACACATCTTAAAGCTTCCATTAATTTGGATGGTGGGCCAGGAATTACAGCATGCTGAAGACAAGTGAAACAGGCCTGGGAGTTTCTGCCTGTTCCTATCCCAACCTGATTTCATTTTTTAAATGAGGTAACTAGTTTAGTGGATGACGGGTATGCAGCTGACACAATATACCCAGACTTCAGTAAGGCTTTTGACCCTGTCTAACATGCCATTATCAGAAATAAGCTTGTGAAACTAGATGTTTCCAGAATTGGTTGAATAACCACAAACAAAGAGCAACTAAAAATGGATCGTTGTCAGACTGGCAAAAAATCTTAAGTGAGGCTCCACATAGGGCTATTTTGGGATTAGTCATGTTCAACATGTTTATTAACTATGTAGATGGAGAGGAGCTGCAAGCTTTTTGGAACACAGGATTAAAATTCAAAGATGGCATAAACCAGGGAACTTGGCTGTAGAAAATCAAATTAAATTTAACAAAGATAAATATAAGACACTACATGTAGGGAAGAAAAAGCAAATATAAAAATACTGAATGGAGGATAACTGGCTAGGTAATAGCACTGCTGAGGATTAAGGTAGATCTTAATCTGAGTCATCATGGTGGGTGACTCCCTCCTGAGAGGAACGGAGGAGTCTATCTGTCACCCTGATCCAATGGCATGGGAGGTACGTTGCCTGCCTGGAGCCTGGATCCACGACATCACTGCAAGGATTCCTGGTCTCATGCAGTCCTCTGATCACTATCCCATTGTCCTCATCCATGTGGGCACAAGTGATACAGCCAGGAATAGTCTGAACCATATCATGAGTGACTACAGGGCTCTGGGGGCCAGGCTTAGGAAGATGGGGGGGGGGGGGTTGAGGAGAGGGGGGGGGGGGGGCAGGTAGTCTTCTTGTCAATCCTTCTGGTCAGCAGTCGTGGTCAGCATCACAATGCCTGTATCAGAGAAGTCAACCTGTGGCTCCAGAGCTGGTGTCATCAAGAGGGTTCTCTTACAGGTTGGCTGATTTCCTACGCAGGGCTTTAAACTAGATTCATCGGGGGACAGGGATGCAGACAACAGTGAGAACCTAGGATCAATAAACCACGAACCATGCAGTGGAACAGCCCACAAAAGTACTAAGGGGCCCAATGGGCATCAGGACAGGGGAGCACCCAGGGCACCCATTAGTGGGAGCTCAAATGTCTCTATACTAATGCTAGGAACATGGGGAACAAGCAGGAGGAACTCACACTCCTGCTTGCAAACAAAAACTTTGATCTAGTTGGGCTAACTGAAACTTGGTGGGGCCCTTCCCCTTGATTGGGCTTGTAAACATTGAGGGCTATAGGCTGTACAGATGAGATAGAGTAGGGAGAAAAGGGGGAGGTGTAGCTTTCTACATGAAGGAGCAATATACATCTTCCATAATCAAGATAGGATCAGAGGAGGGGCAAATTGAGTTATTGTGGGTCAGAATGCAAGGGGGTCAGGGGAAAGGGATTTGGTAGTTGGGGTCTACTACAGACCGTCACATCAGGAGGAGGAGTTGGACATGGAATTCTCCAGACAGCTCTCAGAGGCTGTATGGTCAAGGGATATGGTTGTCAGGGGTGACCTAAGCTACCTGGACATCTGCTGAGAGGAGCAGTCAGCTAGATCCAAACATTCATATAGTTCTTAACCTGCATACGGACCTTTACCTAACACAGGAGGTATACTGTCCCACTAGGGGAAACGCCTTACAGGACTTGGTTCTGGCTATAGGGGATGATTTGGTGGGAGATCTACTGACACGAGGTAACCTAGGGGACAGTGACCATCACTTGATCAAATTCACTATCCAGTGTAGGGTGGGAAAGATAACCAGTAGGGAAGAAGTGCTAGAATTCAGAAAGGCTAACTTCAGTGTGCTCAGGAGATTAGTTAGCAAGGCACTGAAGAACAGGAGAATTGGTGAGGTGGGAGTCCAGGAAGAATGGTCATTCCCAAAGGCAGCAGTCCTAAGCGCACAGGAGACAATCCCCTTGTGCAGGAAAAAGGGCAAAGGGGCCAAGAAACCCTTTTGGCTGAACAGGGAAATCCAGGAAAGCCTTGGGGCAAGTAAAGGAGGAGTATACCTACTTGGCCTGCACTTGCAGGGAGGCAGTCAGAAAGGCCAAAGTACAAATAGAACTTAGGCTGGCAACAAAAATTAAAGACAACAAAAAGTCCTTCTTCAGGAATATAGTGAGCAAAAAGAGGGCACAGGGTAGCATAGGCCCCCTACAAGACAAGCAAGGGTAATTAGTGACGGATAGGAGGGACGAAGCTGAGCTCTTCAATGAGTTTTTTGCCTCTGCATTCCTCAACTCAAATAGGGCAAATCACCCAATTGGATCATAGACAGGCATAAAGGGGGAACCAGCCCACCGACTGTTAACACCGACTTGGTAAAGAAAGACTTGGAGGGGCTAGATGTGTTTAAGTCAAAGGCCTGTATGATCTTCATCCAAGGGTGCTGAAGGAATTGGCCAGTGTCATAGCAGAACCACTGGCATGGCTGTTCGAACAGTCTTGGTGCTCAGGTCAGGTCCCAGAGGACTTCACCTGTCCCCTAAAGGTAAGCGTGTGTTCTCTTCTAGGTTGGCGGATCTTCTCCGGTGGGCTTTAAACTAGGCTCATCGGGGGGAGGGGAAGATGAGGGCGGGGGAAGCCGTGGACCACCAAACCATGTGGCATCCACAAGGACAGCCCAGCCTGAAGGAGAACATCCGGAACCTGCAATCCATGGGGCGGCCATCAATACAGCACAGGTAAGCAATAAGGGGCCCTTTGGGAATCGGAGCTGGGGGGCAAAAAAGGCACCAGTCGCAGGGCTCAAGTGCCTATATACTAATGCTAGGAGCATGGGGAACAATCAGGATGAACTAGCACTCCTGCTTGCAGAAAACACCTACAACTTAGTAGGGCTAACAGAAACCTGGTGGGATTCTTCCCACGACTGGGTGGTACATATTGAGGGTTATAAGCTGTACAGAAAGGACAGGGTGGGGAAGAAAGGGGGAGGGGTTGCACTCTATGTCAATGAGCAATATACATCGACCCTCATCAAGACGGAATCGAAGGAGGAGAAAGTAGAAGGATTGTGGGTTAGGTTATATGGGGGTCAAGGAGAAAGGGATTTGGTGGTAGGGGTCTGCTACAGACCCCCACACCAAG